TAACTATTTTGTACCAATTTTACTTGTAATTAATAAAAAAAACCTTTACCTATCAAAATTAAAAAGAAAACTATCGCAACTTGAACTCCACATAGCACGTTGCAGTTATCATCGAAAAATAAAAAACTGTACACTCAAACTTCTAAATAAATACGTCAGTTTTCATTGGACTCAAGTTTTTGCTTCTTTGCTTTCAAAGGAACAACAAATGTGCATAAAATGAGCCCACAATATACAAAGCAGGTGCAATTTTCTTTATTTTTTTTTAAAGAATACGCCATTTTTACACAACAAAGAACAAAACAGAATTTAGAAGTCAGCGCAACAACTTATTGTCACAATTGCTGCATGCTAGAACAATCGGGTGACAAGTGTGGGGCAATTATTTTCACTATATTGCTTTTCGACAACTTGCGGCAATCAAAATTGTATGAAAAGAGGCAACCGTGTCACTGTACAGAATTTGATCCGGACAATTTTTTTATTGTGCTCCAATACAGCACAATAAAAATTGTTCCAGATTGGTACATTTGCGGCAATCGCGTGATCGCAGCTTTACTTTGTACTACTGAAACAAATAAATAAATTAAATTATTCAATTGGATGTGCACATTGTACATAAAGGAAGTACATAACAAAATTAAAAAAATAAATGCCTTTTTTCAAAGCTCATTTTGCCTTTTTTAAATTTTTAGTACCTTAGAATCCTAATCCTGGTTATTAACATCTTATTATCGGAGGCGCTACGCCCTTTACTGGTTGTTATTAAGACTCCCGCTCCTGCATAAGCTTTGCAATATCGGCCTTACCATGCCTAATTTGTATAAAATGTTTGTATTTATCCCGGAAATTGCTACATCAAGCTTATCAAAATTTGATATTAATAAATATATCTTATTCGTTTATCTCACGACTTTGTAAAAATATGCAAAAACGGAAGAAACCATGCACACTTTACATATTGGAATCTCTCAAAATTTTAACATATAACATACATAACACTGTGAGACAAATGGTAGGGGTCAGTGATCGGGAAGGGTTCAAACTACCGGGGAAAGTTATATCGGTAAAAAAGAAATTATACGTGTCCCGGCGTTTCGCTTACGTTTTATCAGACAATGAATATGAATGAATTTCGTTGTTAAAATTGTATGGAATAGCTAAATTTTGAACGCCAGTATCTTTTAAAAGAGAGCTATTTTTTAAAAACCGTTTTAGAGTTTTGCTTTTCTGTGATAGATGCGGTAACCAATCCGAGGGTAGCCCTGGGGCACGGCAGAAAGATAGGGAGCTTCGGTGGGGCCACTCCGACTTTTTCGGTTTAAGGGCTCACTGAAGTCTGCAGCGTATGTTCACCAGTAGGTGCGGCTGTAAGCGGGGGTATGTCCGTGAATCTGAAAATTCAGCCTCCACGACGAAACGTCCGACCACGGACTGAGGCTGTTGGACTTCGCTCGGGCCCGAAACATAGTAGTAGGTAGTATGCAGTACTAGGTTCAAGCATAAAAAGATTTATCAAGTTACGTGGCTGTCTCCGGATCGAAAAACGAGAAGCCAAATCGATTTTGTTGCGATAGACGGAAGGCATACTTCCAGTGTTTTGGACGTACGTACACTCCGAGTGCCAAACATCGACTCGGACCACTAACTTGTTGCCACCGGCAACGCACCCGGCTCTGGGCAGCAAAAAATGTGCAGCAAAAAATGTGCACCCAAATATGCAATGAAAGCTTAACGTCGAAAAGCTGCAATCACGACAGGCAGCCAATTCATTATCTACTCGACTCTCACACCTGCTCTCAGAGGGAACTCTTCAACAAACCGACATAAGCGGGCAGTAGAACCACATTTCCCGCTTATTAAGTACCGCCGCCGAAGAGGTAGGTGGATTTCAGCGAGCTCGAAAGAACAACTGGTACGATGGAAGCTACAGAGAAACAAGTAAGAAAGGCTAAGTTCGGGCGGAGCCGAACATTAAATACCCGGCGCAAGTATTAAATATAAGTTTTTCACCTTTCCGAAAGCTACCGCTACATGGTAAGCCGGGGTGTATCAATTTTGAGTAAATTAGTGTCCTTAAATTTCGAAATATGGAAGTTTCAAGCATTCCTGAAATTTACCGTTATATGAAAAGCGGCCGTAATTTTAGTCAGGTTTTTTGCTTCTATGTGGCAAGTACAATAACCACACCAAGTTTGGTACAAATTGCTAGAACGGTTACCGAGATACATATATGTGACCATAGGTGGGCGGTGCCACGCCCATTTTCCAAAACTTTATCATAAACGTATTTCTTGGCAAAGAATTGTTGCAAGCATCAATTTTGAATAAATCAGCTTGAATATTTACTGATTTATCGAAGATTTCGTATTTCTCTAAATTACCGTTATATGGGATGTGGGCGTGGTTATTGCCCGATTTTAAAAATTTTCGGTCATTTCGTTTGCTATACTAAGGCCAACAACTGTGGCAGCTTGGAATAAATTGGTGCAGCGGTTACCAAGATATACACATGTAACCATAAGTGGGCGTGGCTACGCCCATTTTCCAAAAATTTATAATAGTCTTATTTTCCGTCTAAAACTTATTGTAAATATCAATTTTGAGTGAATAATATTTCGAAGTTACTAAAATATCGGAGTTTTGGTATTTCTGAAAATTATCGTTATATGGGCGGTAGGCGTGGTTATTTTCCGATTTTGCCCATTTTCAATACCATCCGTCCTACGCCAAAAAGAAGTGCACGTACCACGTTTCGTTAAGATATCTAAATTTTTACTGGTGTTATCGTGTGCACAGACGGACGGACGGACAGTCACCGCTTAATCGATTTCTATTTTCATTCTGATCATTTAGGTATACATTTGTCTATATCTATCTCGACTCGTTTTGCCTGTTACAAACAACCGTTATGTGAACAAAGTTATAATATCCTTGTGCACAAGTGCGCTCGGGTATAAAAAGATGCCGCATGTGGGACCGCTATAGGAATTTGAAACGGGAAGCGAGACATATTTTCCGGAATATGAAGAGAGAGGCCGAAATACGTGAGTGCTAAGAGCTTGAAATGCTGGCCGACAGGAAGAATGCCCGAAAATTTTACCAGAGAGTTAGGTGACTTACGGAAGGTTTTAAGACCAGGGCGTACTCCTGTAAGAACAATTGCGACCTAGTTACCGATGTTCAGAACATACTTAAATTGTGGAGGGGACATTTCCTTACCCTATTGAATAGTAGCAGCTTGGAAAGTTGTGGAGAAGAAGAACCCGAGCCCGCAGTCGATGATGACGGAGTCGATGTTGCTCCGCCTGACTACGATGAGGTACGAATAGCAATAACGCGGCTGAAAAACAACAAAGCTGCTGAAGCTGATAGCCCGCCAGCTGAGCTATTCAAGTACGGCGGTGCTTGATAGGTGCATTCATCAACTCTTGTGCAGAATATGGTCAGATGAACGCATGCCAGACGGCTGGAATTTAAGTGTGATATGCCCAATCCTCAAGAAAGGCGACACCGCCATTCGCGCCAATTACCGCGGGATCAGCCTTCTAAGCATGGGTTACAAGGTTGAGCTTATTGTGTGAAAGACTGAAGCCCACCGTCAATGAACTGATTGGGCATTATCAGTGTGGCTTTAGGCCTGGAAAATCCGCCATAGACTAGGTAATCACAATACGCCAAATCTTGGAAAATACCTGCGGGAAAAGGATCGACACTTACCACATATTTGTCGAATTTAAAGCCGCTTCCGACAGAACTAAAAGGAGTTGCCTATACGCCACTATGTCTGAATTTAGCATTCCCGCCAAATTGATACGGCTGTGTAAAATGACGTTGAGCAATACCACCAGCTCCGTCAGAATTGGAAAAGACCTCTCCGAACTGTTCGCCACCAACCTGGATTTCAGAGAGGGCGACTCCCTTTCATGTGACTTCTTTAATCTGATGTTGGAGATAATAAGAGCTGCAGAACTGAACCGCTCAGGAACAATTTACTACAAGAGCGTGTAATTGCTGGCTTATGCCGATGACATCAACATCATCGTTAACGAAAACCGCGAAGTCTGTTCTTCCTTTTCCAAGTTGGATAAGGAAGCAAAACGAATGGGTCTGGTGGTAAACGAGGACAAGACGAAGTATCTCCTGCCATCAAACAAACAGTCAGCACTTCGCGCCCTGGCACCCACGTCACAGTTGACAGTTATAATGAACCGCTCAGGAAAATTTAAAATAACATCGGCATCATCGGTAACAAAAACCGCGAAGTATGTCCTGCCTTTTCCAAGTTGAATAAAGAAGCAAAACGAATGGGTCTGGTGGTAAACGAGGAAAAGACGAAGTATCTCCTGCCATCAAACAAACAGTCAGCAAATTCGCGCCCTGGTACCCGCGTCACAATTGACAGTTATAATTTCGAGAAAGTAGAGAATTTCGTTTACTTGGGAACCAGCATTCTGGTTCGAATAGACATCGACACTCCAGCTCTGAAAGTATTCAACTCGGAACCCGCTGGTGGTAGCAGAGGAAGAGAGAGGCCCCCACTGCGATGGAAAGACCAGGCAGAGAATGACTTGGCTTAACTTGGCATTTCCAATTGGCGTCAATTGCCATGGAAAAGAAACGACTGGCGTGCTTTGTTGAACTCGACCAGAATCGCTTAGGTGGTTACAGCGCCAAACAAGAAGAAGTAGGAGGATGATAGCTGCAAGTACATTACTATTTTCCGACTTATAAAACTAACTCTATACATATTTTCCTGCACTTTTGCATATTGAAATAGTATGCAAAGCAGAGTAAAATTATTTATAAATGAGTAAATTGTCTACTTCTTTAAAACGCATGACCGAAATAGAGCTGCCGAAAAAGTGAGGTTAAGTTACCGACTAAACCTTCTTATTATTACCCCATGGGTCCTGCGCTTTTGGCTGTGAACCAGTGCAAGGTTATGGAAGCTTCCACATCAATTGTAGCATATTTTTAAAAAATGAATAAGAGAGGGCTTTCAAGCTCTCTACGAAATATTTATTTATCCTAAAAATAAAGAAAACATTATCAGATTTACAGTTAATTAATTAAAGGATTAATAAAAGGATGCTTCCACCCATCGAGGCAATGCAAATGCTGCGGAATGTACATTACTGGTATAATATTTCAACTTCATATTTTCTAATTCTGTTGAACTAAATTCCTTTATCGGCGATTTTAAATCTCTGTGGGGCTCGAGGCATCCAATTACGAAGCCAATGTGCCCACATGGATAACTCGGGACATTCGTATGGGCATATGCTACAGTTGAGAAATGCTTTTTGCAACTCTGCAAGGTATTTTTCACATGTTTACAGTTCAGCCAATAACTTCCGCCTTGGGAGCACACAATACCATCTGGTCGCAAAGCATTTTTCAAAAGTTTATAATAACTCTCCTGAAACAGAGACTGTGCAGGACCAACTGGATCAGAACTATCCGTTATAATAACATCAAATTCATTCTCGTGCTCTTTCATGTAAGCGAAACCATCTCCAATGGTAAGTTTAAGTTTAGGACTCTGGAACCCACATGCCATGCTTGGAAAGTATTTTTTTGAAAGCTCTATTACCCTCTCATCAATTTCCACTTGATGGACTTCCTCTACCAACGGATGTTTTGCTACCTCTCGTGCAACTCCTCCATCGCCGCCTCCAACGATAAGCACATTTTTAGGACTTTTGTGACTGTTCAATGGAAGAAATGATATCATTTCTTGATATGAAAACTCATCTCGCGTTGAACATTGAAGGATTCCATCTAAAACAAGGCAAGTTCCATACGTCGACCTAAAATATACAAAATCAGTTAAATTATTATGGCTATAAATGGGCGATAGAAATAGAAATAAAATAAATAAATTAGTTAATAGCAAATATCACTGTGCGATAAATTGAAGGTCAAGATGTGGGGGGTGAGAAATCTTTTTGGAGAACGGGCGAGCTTATGATAACCCCAAAGAAGTTTGACTCATCGAGGGCAAAATAGTTTTTGAATGTCAAATTAAGTGTGCATATGAGCTATAATTGTACGAGTCCTACACCCTTTTTGATTTCATAATTTAGATTTGGCTGAAATGACCGCTGTGGCTGCCTGCAGGACCTAAGTTCAATCCCTGGCCGAGCAACATCTGAATAAGAAAAACTTTTTTCTGACAGCGGTCGCGGCAGACAATGACAAACTTCCGAGTGTAGGTTTTGGACGATACTACTCACAAGTACGATACCAGCAATAATTTTTGTTCCTTTCAGGGTATTTTTGGCATCGATGGCTTTAACGAAATACTCGAGTAAAAATATCGATACTTTACCTCGATACCCCAGCATTTTCAGTAGTTGTCACTTTTGTTATTGTAGTGGTATTTTTGCTATCTCTATTACTGTAGTCGACAATAAATAATATATGGGTAAATTCACGTCAAATGTCTCAAACGCGCTGAGCGGTGCAAAACAAGCTACTTTTCGCCTAGCTGGGAATCAGACAAAAAATGGGAATCAAAATTCGAAAAATATGATTTCTCTTTATTTTTCTACAGGCTATCCGATAGTGCTATGTGTTTTCGAAAACTATCCCATTTTCATGGCGAAGTTCGAAGCAAAAATTTATTTGTAATTTTTCGCAATTATGGTCATTTTTAACTAATGTTTCATTTCATTTTCAGTTCAGTGTACGAGCAAAAACCGTTGTGCCACCAGTAGTGTGATTCACTAACTTTTTACAATGCGGCTTGCCGAGTTGTAAGCCAACAATTTTGGTTGTTTGCAGTAACGATTGTGCGATTCGCGAACTCTGCTGCCGCTTAAAGTGTGTTTGCATTTGCTAGGTTCAGAAGGCGCAGCAGTTGAGCGCCTTCTGAACGGCTTGATACATTAGCTGTCAAATTTAATTCTCAAACAAACCAACATGTTGTCTCAAATGATCAGAAAAATATTACGATCATCTAACACGCAACTGTTCAGTTGATCAGAAGTACACAACAACGCGTTCAGAAGGTGCAATCGCAAGAGTTACTGAGCTGTTGCGCCTTCTGAACGTGCCCATTGTTCAACTTTGCGTTCCACATTTGCGTTCAACTCAGCGCAGGGTCGCACGAAAAAAAGTTGAATGGCTAAAAATATAAAAAATATGAAAAAATATCAAAATATTCGCCATAAACAGGTGTTTGCATTGTTCAACTTTGCATCCAACTTTTGGTTGAATGGCCTTTCAACTAATTGATTTCAACAAAGTTGGTCGCCAGCCAACATTTAGCCATTCAACTTTTTTTCGTGCAACCGTGCGTTGAGTTGAACGCAAATGTTGAACGCAAAGTTGAACAATGCATACACTGCTTAATGGGCACAAATTCGTTGTATATGCCAAGGCGCTCGTGTGAGCACAAAGTTCGCAAGCGTTTTATATGGAAGAAAATGCCCAACACTAGGGTTGTTCGACTTCACTAGAAAGTCGACTTTCGACTTTTCGATCGATTCTGTGCAGTCGACTTTAAAAGTCGACCGATCCACCAAGAAAAACCGACTTTTTTAATAAATAAAATTATTATTATACTCTGCGTTTAACCCATATATTAGCTATAAATGTAGGGTTCAGAATAGGCCAAAAATATTACGATTTACTAGTGGTCTTTAGAGTAGTCTGTAATTTATTGAAATTCAATTTATTTATTTATTTATTTACCTGTAAGACTCAGTCTTTTGTAGTACATCAACAGCTTTCAATTACAAAATTAAAACGCAAAATCGTCTGATACAGACTTATCTTAAATCTAACGTAAAAATATAATAGCAATAAATTTAAATACAAAGAGTTATCTTAAATTTAAAAATAAAATAAAAAATAAAATAAAAAATAAAATAAAAAATAAAAATTAAATAAAAGTAAGATTAAATTGTAGTCATTTAATAGTCACTCATTGCAGTTGGGAAACCCAAAAAGAAAAACACAAAGCAAAAAAAACAAAAAAGATGGAGAAATAAATAGAGAAAAGAGAACTGTTAAATTGCAATCACATTTATCGCACAGAGGTGAAATACTTGTGTATTACTTTCTTATAGTTGCTCCTATTCAACGCAGCTTTGATAGTATCAGGAATGGAATTCCACAGCCTCACAGCATTAACAAAAAAATAGCCGGGATGAGGGCAAATAGGAAAATTTAGGGATAATCAGATTTTGATGCCTACAAGACTTAGGTAATTCTAACTTCTCGTGAAGATATTTCGGTGTTTTGAATTGTATGAGATTGTAAATATATATACAGTTTCTGGCCGAAAGATATTCAAAAATGCTGCATCCAAGAATTTTGTTTTTCCAGAAAGAGATGTGGTCATATTTTTTGAGGCCATAAACGTAACGCGAGGCCATGAACGCAACATCAATTTTGTGATATGAAGTAGAATCAAGTTTACTATACACAAGCTCAGAGTACGTAATGTGTGGTACAATGAGTTGAATTGCTAGTTTTCTTCTAGTCTCTAAAGGCGTGAACGAAGCTGACATTCTCAATCTACGTAAAACAAAATACACATTATTAACAACTTTATTAATATGGTCAGAGCAGCTCAACATAGAGTTAACAACGAAGCCTAAGTTTCTAACTTTGTCAGTAAACGTAAGGACACTATTACCAACAAACATTTTTGGAATATCCTCAACATGTACAACATTGTTACTAATGGGTAACACATATGACTTCGCAGCATTTACGCAAACACAATTATCACGGGACCATTGCGATATTGCAGACAAGTCACTATTTATTTTATAACACAAATCTTCAACAAGACCGACACGGCTAGACAAATACAATTGATTGTCTTCAGCATAGGCATGGACATTAACATACTGACAAACAGAAAATACATCAATGACAAAAAGACTAAACAAAAGGGGACCAAGCACGGAGCCTTGCGGCACACCGGAGGCAACAATACAGGATTTTGATTACGCAATTGGCACATCACCTTTTGACTTCTTCCCTCAAGGTAGCTGGTCATAAGTTTAGCAGAGCTATCGGAGAATCCAAAGTAATATTTAAGCTTTGTACAAAGCAGGTCATGATTTACTAAATCAAACGCCTTAGTAAAATCAAGAAGGCTGAGAAGAGTTAAGTTATCTTTGTCAAACTGTATTCTTATGTCGTCAAGTATTTTCAACATAGCTGTAGAGCAGCTATGCTTTGGTCTAAATCCTGACTGCAACGGAGATAAAAGATTATTTTCTTGAACGAATGATGAAATTTGCTCTGCCATCAAAGACTCACACACTTTTGATAATACTGGCAAAATGCTTATTGGCCTGTAGTCACTAGGTTCAGAGGCGGTATTCTTTTTTTCTTTTTAGCGACAGGAATAATCACAGCTTTTTTCCACTCCGTTGGAAAACATGAAGTTGTGAAGCAGTGATTGATTATATGTGTGAGAGTTCCTAGAATGAATGGCAGCACAAGTTTCACAAACTTCAAGGATATACCATCCTCACCAATAGCATTAGACTTGATGCTCATAATTGACTTCATAACTTCTGCTTCTGTATCTCCATTAAATTGAAACTTTTGAAAGTTTTTCCAGTTATACAGCATGAAAATGTTGGTTGTGAGGGTTTTTAAAAATTACATTTTTGAAAAATAATGTAAAAATGTTTAAATTTTCATAAAACAAAATTACGGACAATTTTTTTAAAAATGTTGCCTTCCGATGGAGCAGAGGTGGCGGGTATTGGTAGAAATATAATTGCCACTTTATAAACATGGGATAAATATGGCAGTAGCGCAGACAGCTAGTGGATTGGGATTATCTACACGACTAATGTCGCATATTAACTGGAATTCTACCAGCAGCGTTTCTATCGGTGTTTAAAATTTTGCACCTTACGGATTGGTCAAATTCGAACTAAAGACTGTCTGTAGAAATTTACATAAACTCATGCAGAAAAACTTTCTTGCATGAAATTTTTAAAATAAATACCTATGTTTACCTTACCTTATTATTAACTGAAGATTGTGGAGACAAACGATTAACAAATTTGAGGAATTTGTTTTCATATAATAATTTTATGCGCTGCTCTTAAATGATTTGACAATGTTGTTGTACTGTCATTAAAATTCATCTCTCTACCACAGTTTTCACATTTCACTTCAGTTTTATTGGCAATTTTTTTTAAATACGACCAAACAGCACTCCGCGCCCTTGTTAGAAGATCAGTTTTTATTTGCAAATAAATTAAAAAAAGTCGAGAGTCGAAAGTGAAAAGTCGACTTCAGTCGACTTCCATAAACTGAAAGTCGATCACTAAAATTCGACTTTCAGGAGTAAGAAGTCGATTTTGGTCGAAAGTCAAAGTCGAATTTGCTATCCCTACCCAACACCCTCCATAAAAAAATTCAAAAAAATTAATGGTAACCTTTAGCGACTTGAAACTTGCTTTTTATTAGTCTAAAATTGAACGGGCTACAAAACTGCTTACCCGAAAATTTTATAAAGATTCTGAGTAAAAAGTTCGAAATCTTGGTGAAAATTTATTTAAGTTAGATTGATTTCTGTGCAAGCTTTGAAATTTTTATTCACGGGGTTTCTGTTGTTATATAGGAGATGGAACTATTAAAAATAAAACTATTTGGAATAAATAAATGCACATAAGTAGCAAACAACATAATTTTGAATTTTTCTGCCATATTTTACTCGAAGCTGTAAATAAAAAGCTTACAAAAACATTTAAAATGAAAAATATTGTTAATATTTAAAAATTCACTGTATGCACATACATATTTATTTTCAAAGACTGATTTTATTATGCTAGTGTCTTGATGATTATTAAAGAAATATTTAAATATGCATATACATATATGATATCTATATTTTTAATAAACGATGTACACGTATTAAATTGAAAACGTAAGATTAAAAAATAGACTTATCATCTTTTAACTTCCAGTTTTCTATATTTGTGTTACGCCCTATTGGAAAATTATTACCGGAACACATATAGACAAGTTTTAACAAACAATTTTTTGTTATTTAATTTATATTACTTGTTAATAGTGTGATGAAATGTGTGATGGCCGCTGTGGTGTAGTGGTAAGCAGTGCGCGCTTCCACTCCGCAGCAACTGGGTTCAAACCCTGGTCAAAGCAACATCGCAAAAATATAGAAAAAAGGTTTTTTCTTAACAGTGGTCGTCCCTCGGCAGGCAATGACAAACCTCCGATGCATTTTTGCCATGAAAAACAGCTTCTCATAAAAATACAATCGCCGTTCAGAGTCGGCGTAAAACTGTAGGTCCCTCCTCTTTGTGTGACAACATCAAGGCGCACACCACAAATCGGAGGAGAAGCTCGGCCAAACACTAACATATGTGTAAGCGCCAATCTATTATTATTATTATTAATAGTGTATTCTGCACCTAAAATCGCATATACTCTAGTTTCAAACCTTGTGCAACATTTAAACAAAATTCAACAAACTTTCATAAAACTTCAAGTTTTTTATCAGAATAATAAACAAATTATGTATGCAGTTTTGTAGCCCAATGAATTTTAATAAAATAAAGTACAAGTTTGATGTTGCTTGCTTGCCCGAAGTCGGCCGGACAATTTTTCCGGGCGAGTTGTAAAAACTGTCAAACTGCCAAAAGAAAAGGAATGATTTTAGACAAGGCGAATTTATATAAGGTGGTGTTACTAGCTCAGCTGATTTTGTGTATGTGTTTCGCCGCACGGCTTCCGATATCAAATTGAAAAATTTTGTTTGAATTTCTACACACACTCTTACAGATTTTGACAGTTTATGCCGCCAAAGCAAAAACAAAATACATGTAATTTTTTGTTTCTGCTATCACCTTATATTAATTCGCCTTGATTTTAGACATTCAAATTTTAGCTAATCGTAAATTTATAATTTTGTGCGATTTGACGTTGACGATTGACACCTGATGTGGAGGGCAGTTAAAATTGTGTACACAATAAGCGTATTCTTGAAATCTTGCAAAGCCGTTGCACGTAGCATGGATGCACGAATTGCGTAACTTGAAAACACACAACAAATACATGGGAAACAACATTTCCTATCACTGAAAAATATGCAAATTCGAAATCCAGGTGTATATTTTGCAAAAAAGCATAGCAATATAAATGCGAAAACAAAACAGTGTGAAATTTTAAATATAAAAATTTTCATAAACGAAGCTTCAATGATAATATTTCTAAAGAACTTAAAACATATAGTAAAATTGAAATAAAAATCACACCAATTATAGATTTCTATATATGTATGGATGTATGTACATTGCCGCTTTAAATTATTGACATAGGGAATTTTTCACAAAAAACATAAAAAAATATCTTAACTTCCTGCAAAACTTAGGCAAATTCGATAAATTTGAATACAAGTTGGCATTTTAGTATAACAAAGTTCTAGTTTAAAGTTAGTAAAAAATCGTGTTGATTTTTGGGAATTTCTTTGCAGGTAGTTTCTTCCAAACAAAAAAAAAATTGTCGAATATACTTTGTATTTCACTCATTTTAACCGGAACACAATTAAAAATTTTGCTTCACTATACGGCATATAGATCGATTAGTAGATAGAATATGTAAAATGTAAATATTTAAATAGTTCTACATTTTTTACAAAGAAATGTCTACATTTCTTACCAAAACCCGGGTGCCGGGACCGGGACATAACTCTTAAATCCGGGACAGTCCCGCCAAAAACGGGACGGTTGGCAACCGTGGGCGTGAAAGGTTTCGTTTTGACTGATTTCTTCACATACTGAACATCCAAAATACTGTCTAAAACAAATTAAGTTTGCACATTGTCTTCTAATAGAATCAAGCGAATAATAAAATTGTCTGAGCCATAAGCCCCGGCAACTATTGCTCCATTTTTGTAAAATGATAACACCCAAATTCATAAACTATAAAGAAGACTTTAACTGCTTTACAAATCGAAAATTTGTATGAAATCTCACTTTATAGAGCTCTATAAATCTATTTTATTTTCTATGAATAACGCCATAAATGTATTATTATTTTTCACTTAATGAAATGAAAAAATAAAATAAAATATAATTGTCAGATATTAATTCGCCTTTGGGAATATTGTCAAATGATTTCGCCTTGATTTTGATAGTTTACGCCATGATAAAAACATTACAAGGTAAATTCATTCTCTCATTTCGCCGGCCATGACTTTTTTCTGACGTTTGCCAACATTTTAAAATCATATAAAATTGAAAATAAAAAACTTAAATTGTTCACAATTGTTGTTGTTTGAGGTTGAAAATGAGAATGTGTGTGTGAGTTTGAGTTTTGATTTTAAAATTATATTGTTGGCAAACGTCAGACTGCCTCTCAATGGTTTTACCTTGTTATGTTTTTATCATGGTTTACGCCGCCAAAGCAAAAACCAAATACATGTAATTTTTTTTTTTGCTCTCCTGTTATCTGCTTTTCACAAAATCAGTTAAAAAAGTGATACAGTAATCTATACTTCATTCTTCATAAGGGCTAAGCAGAAGCATACATGTGAATCTTATTGAAATAAAAGATTTAAATAAGTAGATGTACTCACGTTTCTATTACTTTAATCTCCTGAAATCTTGATTTCTCTTCGTGAAGAATTTTATTTACTTTTAGAGAAAACGCTTGGCCTGGCCACAAGTCATTTTGTAATTCACTAAACCAACCCTTTAAAATTGCATCCACCATAATGAAAGTTAAACACGACGCTCAAAAACAATAGGACTAAATGGATTTCTCGTTTCGAATTGTTATGTGACCCATAGCTTCATTGATTATTATAAGAAAAACGCAGATAACGAACAATATTTAAAATATGTATTCCTTATCTGTTTTTTGGGGTGTCAGGAAATTGCTATAGTAACCGTAGCACCGGCCGCCCTGTAGAGAAATACATACAATAAAACATTCAAGTGTTGATATTTTAAGCACAATTGCGCTTTTATTATTCCAATTAGTTGTACAATGTACTAAATTGCACTTAATAGGCTTTCAATATAAGTCGCATTTGCCTACCTGATAATTACTGATAGTTATCAAAGACTATCAGCTTTTGGCGTTCGCATACGCAAAAAAAATTGCAAAGTAGGATGAAGGAGAGAGCAAAGAGAGATGTCATTTTGAGAAAAATTGTTAGCTTCTGGTGAACAAATTTTTGCCAGCAAGAAAATCAGTTGATCAAAAACAACTAGCTGGTATTTAAGCAAACCAAAAAATTAAATTTTAGCATCTTTGATGGTTTGCATGTTAAAAATGATAAAATTTAAGTAACTAAACGACGCTAAAAAATCACGAAACAAAAGTTAGTGCAGCTTGTAGGACAAAAAACAACCGTTATGTTCGTACTTGGAAGTTTTCATCAGGTAAAACTAAAAACCCTTAGGTTGCCAATTATGTACATATGTAGTATTTGTCTAAAAGTACATTTAGTTTCGAATAAACTGATACATCACTTAATGCAATTGCATACAAATTTTTCCAAATTTAACAATTTAAGGAAAAAACAGTCTTGAATTTATTAATGTATGTTAGCAAAAAATTGGTTTTTCATAAAATTTCAGGAAAATGGGCGAGGCACCGCCCACTTATATCATATTGTAACTTATACTTTCCTTCCCGAGGAAAGTGTTTAAAAAAATATCCAAGTTTTATTTAATCCGCATCTCGCGGACAATTATCAGAAGTGAACTTTTGTCTCTTAAAGCACGAAAAAAAGTTGAATGATGGAATATTAAAATATGAAAAAATATCAAGATATTCGCAATAATTCGCAAAAAGGTGTTTGCATTGTTCAACTTTGCATTCAACTTTTGGTTGAACAGTCTTTCAACCAATCGCTTACAACAAAGCTGGTCGCCAGCCAACATTAAGCCATTCAACTATTTTTCGTGTAATCCTGCGTTGAGTTGAACGCTTAAGAACTAATTTCACAATGACGTTTTGGCGTTGCATCAGCCAGTGGATTGATGAAATGCCAATGCTTGAGAAATGCAGTATTGTTTTCTTAATTTTTAATTAAATGAAAAGTGTACAGAAGGTACGGGAAAGACATCGTTGCACTTTATGCGTTCTGGGATATTGGAATGCACTTATGTTTACAGCTGTTTGAGGTCTGTTTTTTGGTTTGATCTTCGATTGCAAATAATTTAATTAAGAATGCAAAAATGCTGCTGTCAGCATTTTGGCCATTCGTTATTTTAACTACATTTGTTTACGCTAACTTTGGGTGGCTTTTAGTTTGATATTAAACTACAGAAGTTGTTGCGTTATGATTTTAATTAAAAAATGAATGTAAGCTTTCTGTATTTGAACTTTATTGTGTACAATTTGTATTTAAATCGTTATGTGTGGTTTGCTGTTAACTTGTATATATCAAAAACGACTTCACCGATCTCGAGAAATTTGACATACAAATTGTGCTTAGCTTAAGGAGGCTGTCCGTGCTCCACCCACATAACGGTAGTTTAAAAAAAACTCAAAGCTAGCTATATTTTAGGGGAGCAGGTTTTGTTGTTAATTAATAAATAATAAAATAAAAATGGAGGGTTCAGGAACTAATAGAAACCAATTTTCATGTTGTACTCGACCCTACCTACAACGTGCACTAAGTTTTGTTTCGGTGTATTTCATGATTTGTTTTTAGCATCGTATTATTCGCTCAGTAAATAAATTGCGTCAGGGTAACACTTTGCGATCAGTTTTTGTTTTAAATTTTAGACTTTTTACTGTAAACAAAAATTCTATGAACTGTATGTTGTTATCTTATGAGAGAATATATGGCATTTGGACGGGGTTTTGCTGCATATTTCTTAGTGGAGATTTTAAACGATATCTTTCATTACAACATCGCAAAGTTTTTTCTACTATTCAACAGTGGTCACATTCGGTCAAAACATACATTATACTTGCTCCAAAATAAATTAGTATTGAAAATAGAAATATCGGATAGTGACCCCGCCCCTCCTGCAACGTAAGTTTTGAAACAAAAAAAAAAACTATGTTTCAATAACAACTAAAGCCAAACTACCGATAAATGAAATTTTCATCAACCATTTATCAATAAATTATAGTTTCCCTTTGATTGTTGATGCTTCCAGCAGGGTAGGAGTATGATGTATTTCGGAATTAATATCCGTCATCATTTATTAATTTCGGTTTCTCACGTATAATTTTTCATTCTGATTAGCTAGTTTTTTTCGTCCGTGTTTATGCTCAGAAACGCCTTGTTAAGTACGTCGCGGTTAATGTATGTACATATAGTTATTTATATATATAAAAAAGGATGTATGTATGTATGTATCTATGCAGCTTATAGACTCCGAAACCATTCAGCCGATTTTGTTAAAATTTCCAGGATAGCTTCATAGAAACTCGGAGAGTGTTCGTGTGAAATGTGGCTATTTTTGAAAGAGTTGCCACCTGTCAGAAAAATAAAATTTATTTAAATATGCAAGTAAAGTAAGTATAGATATCAAATGGAAGGTATTTGAGAAATATATTTAAGAAAATTTACATCAAAAAATATTTTAATAAGTGTTGCCACCTGGTAAAAAAGTTAAAAATAATGAATATCTAATGCGATTCACATCAAATATTGCAATATGGGTATCAAACGGAAGGTATTGGAGAAAGATTCACGCCAAACATATTTTTGAGTAGAGTTGCCACCTCTTTCAAAAAAAGTTAAATGACATACATGTGTGTATTAAAAAGTATTTCGCAGGATACGGGAGCTATTGGGAAATGTTTCAGTTAAGACCAATTATCGTATAGAGTGTCCACATACTTAAGAAAATAAAATCGGATAATATTTTTAAGAAATACCAAAGATTTAGAGTGTGATAAACTTTAAAGTCTGTCAAACCGAAAGCTTACCAGAAAGAAAATGCCGAATCCAAATTTTTAAATCTATATGTGAACATATGTATGTATGTTAATGCCAGAGTTGTGTAAATTTTCACCAGGTTGCAATTTAAAAAGGGAATTTGTTTAATAGTTAAAAACCAAAAAAGTACTCAATATTAATGCATAACTTTTGTTTCTTATTGAATAAGGCTTAAAAAAATATAATAAAATTTGCAATAAAAAATGTTGTAATATTTTTTCCTAATGCGCATACGAGATTTTGCTTGCATAATTTTCCTAAATTTGGGTGTATAAATTTTGGTATTTTTCCACAACATTCAAGAATACCTACATAGAAAACACTTTGTTACCTAAGTTCACATAAATAAAGGGTTTAAAAATTTCAAATTATTTGGGAGGAAAGTACCTGCAGAATTATAGCATTCGTTGTTATTTTACGGTTGAAGGTAGTTAAATATTGTTTACAAGAGTATATTTTGTTTCCCTAGTTTACCTAAACAATGGCTTCATAAATCTTGGGATTTTTCCACAACATTCTTGAAGAAAATACCTACGTACAAAGAAATTTTTCTGTATACACTAATTTAGATAAATAAGAGGTTGCGAAAGTCTACCGATTTTTTTTAAAATTATTGCAGGAAAAGTACCTGCAGAGAATATCTTCTGCTGTTTGCACACGTTTTAGCATAGATAAAATATGAGGATTTTTAATCTTTTTAAGTGGAAGGTACCTTCAGAGAACATATTTATATTGTTTGCCTGAGTTACATAAATATAAGGTCGCATAGCTAAAACATTCGCTCATAGCAAGTGTAGACACTGCGCAAACGATAGTGAATTCTTTTTCATCTGAGATCAGTTCAACATACAGAGTATTATTATTTACATTCACAAAAAAATAAAATCATGCCACCAAAGAAAGCATCAATTGGAAGAAAAAACCCCAAAACAAAAAAGTCGAATGAATACAGAGCGGAGGAAACGGAAAATCAACGAAATGTCCGACTTCAACAAAATCGAAACAGAGAGACAAGCTCGAGAAATGTGGAAACGGAAAACCAGCGGGAATCTCGCCTCCAGCAAAATCGTGTGAGAGCTTCAACCTCCAGAGA